AGGAGGTTCGTTAGTTTTTGTTCAGTTTTGTTCCGTCATGTTCTTTTCGTTTGCTGGTCTGATGAATTTAGATTCGTCGGATAGGATGGTCAGCATTTTACTTACGTAGTCTTCATGATTCATGACTACGATTCCCCCACCTTTATCCGGGCGTAACAGAATAATCTCTTTGTTGTTTATTAATTCCTTGAGCTCTTCATAGTGTTTTTTGGTCAGTATTGACTTTCCATTTGGTTTGGTATTCATAAATTTATGGCAGCTGTCGAGGACTACCTACCTGAACTGTTGCAGGTTCTCTTCGGAAGTTAGTGATAGATCAGATGTTTGGTTTATCAAAAATTAATTTATCAAAATTAATTAATGCATTTTCGGTTATACGGCGAAATTATCATACGTAAATAAAGTCATCTCATAAATGTTTTGCTTATAAAAACTTACAATCATTCTGAATTTGTAGTACAATAGTGCATTGTGTTAATGGATTTCAACAGCTGAAGTACAGTTACTTATGTATTTATGTTGTGTATTGTGATGTTATGGGTTTATATATCAGATTTGTTAGCACGAAAAGAAACAGCATTATTAATTGGATGCAGTTTCCTACAGATATTATCACTGACACCCTTACAAATTCATATAAATATTCCATCAATAGTTTTGATTCTTAATCAATGCATCCATTAACTGTTGATGAGAGCAGAGGTTGCTGCATATCCGAAGTGGCTGTGAAAATACTCACTCATGAGACTGTGAATGTAATGTGCTGGTTTTCAATCTCCCGGTGCGATGCGTTGTTGAAGATGCAATGAATACAATTGAGGAAAACATTTCGATTATGTAATATCCTTTCCCAAGAAAGTCCGGAAAGTTGAATTTCAGTAAGTATCTGTTGGTCAGTACTCTGATGAATTGTTTCAAATCCAAATTATTCACTGTTTACAGGCTATTAACCATTAAAAAATGGAGGCCTAATATCATTCTCAAGCGGGAGAATTTCATCTGGAGTCTTATGTTCTTGTCAGTAACACTGATGATACAGTGATGTTGCTGTCAGGAGATCTGTACTAGGAATAGTTTTCACTCAACAGACGTTTTGGTGAAGAAACAATGCATCACTCAGCAAAGAACGATTCACATGGCATCAAGCACAAATATCGTAACAACGAAGAGATCAATATTAATAAAGATGGGTTAAAGGATAATACCAACTTTGAAAAAAGCGATAGCAATGATTACAGTGACCATGGAAACTACATATTGGTTATGCAGAATTCTAGGTTCTAACTTCAACTACAACTTGAAGCTGAAGATCTTGTCTAGATGAAATTGTCAGTATTACCAATATAATCACCAAGTTAAGGGATCATGACCACACTGACTTCCTTCATCTGAGGCACAATTCTTCTGCACAGTACTGGTCAATTCAGAATTCAGATCATACAGACAGGTCTTATGCTTTATCACGTCCTCTGAGCCTTTTTGACTTTATTGTTCTAGTTGTTAGCAATGTAATGGTTTTACTCTCGAGTTTATCATCAGTTGACATATTTATGCATAAACAGTAATATCCTACTTATAGTGTTCATCACACAGACTGCGGAAAGTGAGACTCACTTGCGGACAATTGCTGCATATTGCTGTCATGCTACATCAGAATTTTCGCCTCCCTGAAAAGTAAAATATTCATTCCATATTACTTGAACTCTGATGCCATTCACATAGAGTAGAGCATAAACACAATTGAGAACGTTGTCATGAAATGTTGTCTGCAGTAATTAAAAACCCGCGACACTTTGAAATGACAAAAAAAATGAATGACTTATGACGCCATACTTTTGGCGAAATTCAACAATAGCGTCCCAGGAGTGCAAAAGCTCCAATGACCATGAACGCATGCTAGTCGTTGGTTGACGGCGCGTGCCATTATCATGGCTGAAATATCAACGCTATTCAGCAGTTAAGCAGTAAATTTAACTCACGTTTTTAAGTTCTGTTTCGACAATATTTTAATAGCTCATTAGCCTTGGAATTAAGGTTAAGGTGAGTATTTGGGTAAGGGTTGGGATCAGGGGTATAATTCACTTTAGGGTTCGAAGTAATGTTTGGATAAGGGTTATGATTAGGGTTAGGACTAAAGTAAGGGTTACGATTAGGGATATATTCATATTTGATGTCATTTATTAAAATTTGCTTTAAATATCCACATTTTCCCGATAAGTAGTCGTTGATCCTCTTACTGGAAACCACAGTAATTCAACCAAGGGCTTCAGTAGAACTGCATAACAAGATAAGAGAGTTAAACAATTCACAAAAGCAACTCATCTTTAGTCACCTATGTGAATACATGTTGAGAAACTAGACCAAATTAATAACTGATACCACTCATTTTATCTGGGAAGTATTTTTAGGTCATTTTAAAGAAAGATACATTGTTTAATGTATTTTATGCATTTTCTTGTGAATATATGTCATATTTTCTGCAAAAGTCACTTACTTGTATAATTTGATGCCTGAAGGTCACACGTACTTTCGCATTCCTTGAGATGCTATTGTTGTTCTTTGCCCTTCTTTTTAGCATGAGTGTTTTATACATACAGATTGATTATAGATGTAAGCACTTTCATTAAAGAATATGATACATGTACTGTTCGACCTTGACCTTAGTGGCCTGTTTGAACATTTTGAGCTACCATATTCCATGTACATTTTGCATCTATTTACTCATATTTTGTTGGTGTTTACATTTCAATTTATGCATTCTAATCGTATCATTCACTCTCGGGATTACATAAAATGCTTAAAACCCAAAAACTTTCATATTTGCAATTAACTCAAGAAAAAGCACCATGGTGGTTGGCAACACTGTTCCGGTTATCATTATTACCAACTGCTGATCCCTGCCTAACAAAATTCTGGATTTTCAGTCCCTGTTGTTGTCCGAAATTTATCACAATACTGGTATTGTCACTCTACAAGAAACCTGGCTCCATGACTTAAATAATCACAATATAGTGTCTTTAAATGATTTTAATGTATTCCGACAAGACCGTGTTTGTTGCAAGAAAAAATGTGGCGGAGGTGTTGCAACTTTTATTCACTCAGAATGGTCCATTTCTAACAAAGTTTGTTTCAAATTCTTGAATGACTACATTGATTGCATTACTGTGAGATGCCGCCCGAAACACTTGTCAAAATACAAATTCATTTATATTTCTAATGTTTATGTCTCTCCTGTCTGTACAATATCGGATTTATCTATGTTCGCAGATGAATTCACCGATTTTGCTGCAGCTTGCTTCAAGAACTCTTGATCAATACTGACTGGCGATTTTAACTCATGCGTCTGCTCCTTCCTTATATCACTTGGTCATGACAATATTGTTAACTTTACTACCCGTCTTGGTAAAACATTAGATCTAGTATTCATCAATGATGTTGGTATATATGAAGCTCGCAAACGTGCTCCTGTACTTAACTCTGACCACTGCATCATACGTGGGTTGGTGATAATGTTGGATAGGTTATCAATATGATAAGCAAATGTGAAATCTGAGGTAATTTCAATTTGATATCCTGTATGTACGAGATGAGCCCAGTACAGATCAAAGTTTCGCCTTGTTCAGGCCTCTGCCTACATTTGATGAGTTTTGTACAGAAATTAGACGATAATTTGGTTAATCGTTCACCTAATGTTCATGCTTCGAGAATAGTGGTGAATCACTAAACGCACCTCATTCCCTTCTTTTGTAATAGTTTCCCATAAAAACTAGTATTTCAACTTTTTCCTGTGAACACCTAGTTCACACGTCTCTTCGTTGGAAAAAGCTACACCTCTCTAATGGTCCGCCGTTCATTTTATCACAGTTTGAAAAAACAAGGATTTGCATCAAATTATGAGTTGTCACTGTCTGCCTTACTTTAATAAATTACTTTGATAACAGAGACACATTTGTGACTTAACAACATGATAACTAATACATGAAAAACAAAATCTCTCGTGAATCTACTTCTAAGTGGCTCAGTAATACCACTGACCTCCCTTGTTTTGCATTGATGAAAGTGCTTGAAATTCACAAAGTTTATTTCGATCTTAATTAGATTTTTGATTAGTTGCCATTACTCACCTCCATCTCTTTTTGATTCCCAACTTGCTGTTATGGATTTATCAGAGTAAATGAAGGAAGAATTTACTGTGAAGAACGTTGAGAATTCATCATTGGGTGTAATCATATTGTTCATGACGAAGCAATGTAGTAGTTGAATTTCCTTTACGTAAAATAGGATATGCAGGGTATTACTACAAGCAAAATCTCACTTTGGGTGAAAGTTGTTGATGCAACAGCATACAAACAGATCATATTTACGCAATGAACTAAGTGAACAATTTCCTTATTTTCTTTGATTACCAATTTAAGTGATTAAATATCATTCTAGACTACAAGGAAAGTGATGATGGAGGTCACATAGACAATTTTGCCGACAACGTAAGACCAAGCGACATGAAGTGATGATTCTTCGTCAAGACCACACCACTGTACAACTTGATACAGCGAATAGCAGACAATCAACTAATAGTTTCCCTCACTGGATTGTAGAAGCATCCATTCATATTACCGAGTTTCGTTTAGTATTTCCATGTGTGATGATTTCTTTAAAGAGTCCCTCTCTCTACCTGAATCCGACATCCTTTTTTTTCTGACTGAGTCACATATTCAAAAGACGATTTCATCGTCAAAATACATAACGTCGAAGGAAGAGTCAACCAACACTCAAATTCTCTTTATGAGTGATAGACAAACTCATGAAAAACATCATTCAGAAGAAACTGTTGTACAAATACAAAAATGAAAGTTTTAGTGCAGAAATATTAATTTATTCTATAAATTTAAAATGTGAACTGTCAATTAGTCAGGCAGTTACATGCACAATAAAATGTGTACGCAAGCACAAGTGTATATCCCTTGACACAATATGATTGATAGACCGATGCGTTATTCATGTTATTTCAATGAGCTGGCAAAAACTAGAGCCATCTGAAAAAAAAAGTAACCAATAGAACAACATCATTTTTCTGAGTTTCAATCGAGTATATGCCAGTCTGTTGACTGAATATAAACTCCTGATTTACATTAATGAATAAAATCAACACTGAGATCTACAGAGAATGTGATTTGGAATTTTTTAATAACCTCGGCCACATCACGAAGGCTTGTCAAGGTAGACTTCGCCTCTGTTAAAAATTGTTTATGATTTCTCATCTCAAACCAAACACCACAGCTGATACATAAAAAAATTTCTAAATTCCGAAGTAAAACTGTGAACTTACTATAACTACGTAAGTGTTCCATAAGCCACCAGCCAATTCAGAATATCTCATCTGAAACGAGTTGAGATAAATTACATTCACAATGTTGATCAAGGATTACAGAAGATCAAATGCACAATTCAAGTATTAGTAACATGCCAATAAAACTGAGTGTTGTTCTATGAAACAAAACTGCAAAATATATATGTACAGTAACGCAGTTTTCCGATTACTTCAATGAATCAGTGAGATAAATTAAGCAACAGTTAAACGCATCTTTTCACAAGAATTAAAGTTTAACATTTCTTATCACTGTGTAGTAGGATGTTTCGTCATTATCAGAGATTTACATAGTCATTTTTATTTTACATAACAAATAACTGCAATAATGTTTCTCAGATGATCAAATGCACTGCAATTATTGAATCACTGCATAAGTACACCTGTTTTTCCTCCTCTGGTAGTGAAAAGATGTGTGGTCTCAAGAATACACAGATAAGTGTAGAGCTTAAATTCCAGGTAAGTAATAATAAGATTTAGTTGATAATTCCAGTTATTTTAAATGTTAAAACTATAATATAAAAAAGGATAATTTGAAATTTCAATGCACTTACGTCACTAAAGTATACATAAAACAAAACTGATCCAGTTATCAGAAAAGTCGTCGATAAAGATATCAGAACTATCATCAACACTGGTTTGAATCTTTTGACATAGATGCAAGCGATAATTGTTAACAAATCTTCCAGAATAACGAAGCCCAATAAAAAGTAATACTTAAAATTAGGCTCTCGGCAACACATAAAACAGATAGCTGCAGACCATAAGACAATCTGTTGGCAAAAGAAATCAGACATTCTGAACATCTGAGTCGGAAAGTTTTAACATTTTTTCACAAAACTGACGTAAACATAGAAATTTCATATAAAATAACAGCGAATGTCAGTTGAAATGTTCTTGCAGTGTTACTTTTAGTGGTGTGAAAAACCCGCATAGAAACTTAAATGTGAGTTTCGCGTTTATTGTGGGTGACAAACGGTGTATACCTGCAACCGCAGAGGAATTAATGAATCCTCAGTATCTTGTATACACCTAATGTACTGATGTACAATGTACCTGTTTCTTGTTACACTTCGTGGTTTAGGTGAAAAAAACGTAATTTCTGTTGTTCTGTAAACTGCCAAAGCATCGGATCTATAATGTTGTATCCCAATACACTTATTAAACGATATTCACTCCTACACAGGGAGGACACATCGATCTGTGCACGTAAGGGCTGAAAACCACATTCCTTGATAGCTTGAAGAATAGATAATAATCATGATTTTAAACACAATTCACTGAACAAGTTTCATGTTGTGCTTTAATTCAGTGAAGTTGGTAACATCTAAGGTGTGGAAACTTACATCCATCCGACAGTTTTTAAGAAAGCTACAAATATCAGTCCGCAATTTTAAGGGTATGACGTTCAAGATCAAGTTAAGCAAAGACTTGATAAATCTACAAGTAGAATTAGTTGTCCTGTGAAACTTGCACCAAGTGACTGCTTCAACAACCTGGAAAAGAGCTATCGCCAATCTTAAACACTTTGAAATGTGTATACGAACTTGTGTGTGTTTGTGAAAACACATAAGTAGGTCGTAGGAGGTGGTGATTACCTGTTCGCATAATGCAGCTTTTGGTAGAGTGACAGGGTATCTAAATGTCAAATAATAAAGAATTTTGTAAACTGAAGACATGATACTAACTCTATCAAGTGCTTCACTTCTGTCATTTAACAAAGTTAAATAAGTACGTGTGTTGAGGAGTGTGAAATTGTGGTTCGTAAACTTAGTCTCCGTGTACAGAGAGAAATTGTGGTTACTCTGAATCCACTACGTCAATTCACCTTACTTATTACCTGTTGTTATTATTGCTATTAATTTATTCTACCTCATGATTATCCTTCATTCATTTGAAACCATCCTTTATCAGTAGTGGTATCTTAAGTCGTTTTACTATTCATATTATTGTCATTAATATTATTATAAATATTATTGAGTTTGATGTTCCACCTCAATTTGGTGAATTTATTAAATTCTGCTTTATTCACCTTTGTTGCTCGCTGAAATTTAATCCATTTTGAGTGAATATCAACGATAGAAACAAAATTATCTCGAGGAAACGAAGCTAATTCATCAACGTGAATCTCTGAGGAACTTACTATGAATCCTATCAGGATTAACGCAATTTTTACATTATTTGTGAATTTGAAGAATAGCAATGCACACAAGATCATAGTCAATACTCTAAAATACAAATGCAAAACAGCTATAATGAATTCCGGAAGATGAAAGGAGTTTTCTATATAAAAACATTCAATAGCCCTACATCCATTATTCCTTGCTAGTTCATACTTTTATCCATGCAAATAATTTGCTTATAGGTTTCCAGGCCGAAGGTGTTACGAACTTCCTGAAATAATTTGAGCGCCGAGTCAGATTGATTCATCATAAATTATTTAAATTAATCCCAGCGTGTTAAGAAAATCAAAACAAGATTTTTCTGAACGTTTCGCTGTGTAAGCCACAGCTTCTTCAGCAGATTTATTCGGATTTTTATTAATCATCAAAATATATAGTCAAAAATTTTACATACATTAAAGTCAGTTTATTTGAAGGTCATTTGTCTATGGACATTTTTACTAATAGAAAATATGTAAGCCGTCATCACATATATTTGTAATGACTAATGTCAAGTTGTTGTTGTGTTCACTGATGTATAGTTAATTTGTATAGATTAGTTTTGTATGAGTGTGTGTGTATGTGTGTTATTTGTCATATGGAAAATACGTGAATTCATATTTGATAAACATGTTTTAAAAGGTCATGGAGGCTTATATAGTGTTTATTGATTTTTTCATTTGTCTTACTTCATAAGAGTTTGCCATATAGGTGATAAGTCTATCCCATTTTCCTATTCACTGCATTCGATGTGGTTAAGATGTGCAAGGCTTCAGAGGTCAATCTTTCTTTATGTGAATGAAATCCTCTTCCAAGAATTTCGACATTGTCGAAATCAATCTTATGTCCGCTGTCTATAGCATGCATTGCTATAGCCGATCTTTTTTCTAGACTTTTTAGTTCTACTTCATTTCTAGGTGGACGTTTCGTGCATAGTCTATGTTCATTCACTCTGACCTTCATCTGCCTACTGCTCTCCCCTACACAGCATGCATCACATTGGGAACACTTTATCTTGTAGACACAATTACTTTTTGATATTCGGGGAACTATGTCTTTGACATGTACCAACGCCTTCTCTAGAGAATTAGAAGGTTTGACACAGACTTTAATATTATATGAGGCAAATAATCTTTGAAGTTGTTCAGCTGTGTCATTTCGGTATGGGATGGCTATCGTGGATAGCCAGGATTTGACATTATTCATTACAAATATATGTGATGACGGCTTACATATTTTCTATTAGTAAAAATGTCCATAGACAAATGACCTTCAAATAAACTGACTTTAATGTATGTAAAATTTTTGACTATATATTTTGATGATTAATAAAAATCCGAATAAATCTGCTGAAGAAGCTGTGGCTTACACAGCGAAACGTTCAGAAAAATCTTGTTTTGATTTTCTTAACACGCTGGGATTAATTTAAATAATTTATAATGAAATAATTTGCTGTTAAGAGAAGCAGGAGTTTCCACATATTTGAAACGGTTGAGGAGTCATTCCTAGTATATGCTCACTCATATGATTGCAAAATTCAAGCACTGCTTAGACGTTTATTGATCCGATACTTTATTTAAGATCAGATGAACTCAGTTAAGCTATACTATTCGAATATTCCAAAAATGTTCATTTTGTTACGTTTCGCAAGTTATCAGTTACTCAAAGGTCCAATAAATCCTTCTTAATCCAAATTATTCATTGCTTGCCTACTAATACCATTTTAGAAACATAAGCCTAATATTTGTTCTGGAGAAAGGTATTTTCGATCATATTTGTACTCTTTCTGTTTGTTTTTCTTGTTATTAACAATATTGTGCAGAGTCCGGTAATCGGAATAGTCTTCACTCAACTAGCATCTCAACGCAGGTACAACTGATGAATTACTAAATATTTATTCACATGGACTTAAACTCAAATATAAGTTCTTTTGCATAACTTTAATCAAACCAATATTCACAGCAAATAGATGGGCATAATGTTGTATCATCGCCGGTAGACCTTGACGACACCACGCAACCGATTAAGACAGTGTCTACGTAAACAAGAAAATACTTCAAATCTGTAGTATTCAGTAGTTTGTCTGATTCTTTGCTCTATAATTTATTTTGATTATAGCTTGATTCCACACCATATTCTCGCTGCAATTATAAAAATTTCAGCAGGTGATATCGGTAGCCCAACTTCTCAGGCCGACCATTGATATCAGGTGTGCGTCAGCAGGGGTTCTAACTTCGGACCATGTGCATGGTCGACGGCAATCTTAACCCTTGGGCCACCCACGCACACCATCATTTCAAGATTTGAGTTTTGAGGTTATAATCACGATGTGATGTGAAGGTATTTTAAGCCATTTACAGTTAATAGTGTTAATCTCAAAGATTACGGGAATTGAAGACTTACAGACAAGCGATTGCTGCATAAGCCTTCCATTGAGCACCAAAACTTTCATTCGCCTGAAGAAAAAATATTTAGTTCATGTTAGTAAAATTCTGATACTGTCCATAGGTAACTGATTCTAAACAAAATCAAGAAAGCTATTTTGAAGCGTTGCCCACGGTGGTTACATATGTCCTTAATTCTCAGCATGAATGATTGAATGCATAAACATTGCCTACATAAATGAGCGATGACATCGATTAAAATATGCTAATTGTGTGACAATTTCATATCTTAAAAAATTCAAAATTTGGAGTCGATATCAAAAAACAACAAATAAGATTGAAATATCTCATAGACAAAAATTAGGCCTGAAATAACTTTCGGTAAACACGTGGAAACATGACAGCCCCAAGCGTGTGAATTCAAAGTTTCCATTCACCATAACAGTTTCTGTAAAAACCTGTCCCCACATATGCACGATGTTCGGAATTGCAATCAGCAATAAGATGTGCATACACTATCCTAATATAAGTCATGTTGCGGTATGTAGAGTTTTTCGACTCTATGTTCACCTCCGGATGTGTTCCACTTTATTTTGACATAATGTGGTAAATGTTATGTCAATGAAATACCTAAAAAGATTAAAAGTACATGAAGAAAACAGATTCTCTGATGTTGTGATGACTGCTCAATATTCATAACAAACATTAAACTTCATAAACCATGAAATCATGAAATAAGAATGCCTAAGATTAAACGAAGAATGCAGCCATTGATGACAAGAAAGTGATAGTAACTACAAATCATAAGAATTGAAGTGCTTACCTCTAAAATAACAATCATCTTACACCAGACGTTATGAAATGAACTTACATCATTGCTCAACTTATATGCAAATTTATTCACCTAATTCTCTGGACTTTGTCTCAAAATTTGTTTACATTCATGGTGAAGTGTTTATGAATTCGTAATAGAAACTTCATTGCAGATCGAACTTGTTTATATTCAGAAGTAAAATAAAGTCGTCTTATACATGTTTATTTTATAATTCAAATCACGACTGAAAATGTTTTTCCACTATCAACCAGTTAGTGTTACTTGATGAAAAGTGGCTATTTCAAAAAATAATGGAATATTGAAAAATTCAAAAAATTATGAAGTTATTTAATCGGTGGATGGTGACTAGCACTGGAATCCAGGATGCGCATTTCGTCCTATTTGGGACTCGTCATCTGGATGTATCTGCATTTCTCAGTGAGTGATGATGTTCCCACCGAGGCTCGAACCCAGTGCCCATGGTTTCAAACGCCAAAGCGTTATCCACTAGACCACTTAGGCTACGAGAGCCACCTCTTGTGCAACGGGCCATATTGATTTAAATGAATTTTGGATTTTCCCCTCGATTGATTGGACCAAAGTGCTCGGTCTCAGGTTGACATGTCGGCTTCTTGAAGTTACATTAACTTTATTCGTGTGAAAGTTTCTTTCATGGTGTACGATTATAGAATGACTGTGTTACCAGTCGTCAGAATCACAATGAACTCTATACTGAACAGTTAGCGCTGAAATCTGTGGAGATCCTATAATACATTCAACTACACTGCCTGGATAAGTATAAGAAATGACTCCCTTCATATTTCTGCTGTTGCTGTTTGTTGGTTGGTAGGTTAGTTAGGTTCAGTGCTTCTATTTTCTGTATCCCCACTTGAGGACGTATCTTCGATGGCTGATTCATATGACAAAGTGTTAGTCACGACCTGCAGATCTTAGAGTTCATGCGAAATTCACATAAGTCGTCGACGAAGTTCAAACATTCTTCAGTCTGCTTGTTGCACGAACGTATGATCATCTTCTTGCTGCTCACGGTCTCTCATATGACACAGTCCCCCAAATCCAGAAGTGCAATCTGCGATAAGCCTCACTGAGATTTACACTGTGGATCTCTTGGCATTTGACATATTCACATAGCTGTTAGGAGCACTGCGCTTCGTAGTTTCCAATGCTGTCGTGGGACTTTCCAAAGTTTATAAGGTTGAGATATTTATTTTATTACAATCCTGTACTCTCCTCGATGATGAGGCATAACATTGTGATTTGATTCGTACATAAATTACTTTTCCTGAATCCAGTTTGTTATTGAGGGAGTTTCGCTTCACAACGTCATTTAGTCTCTCCAGGATGACACGAGCAAATATTTTGCTTGCATTGGGTGCAAGCATTAATTCCCGTACAATTATTGCAGAGTCACCTTCTCTGTAAGTCTGACAAGGTAGCCTATCCTTCTGACAAGCCTGCAACTTTCCTTCATCTAAAATGCAATGTGCCAGTGACGTGAGTATATCTAAAAAGTTCCTTTCAATGGAGGTCCATATGGTTCTGTCACCTTCCAGACTTCAAGTAACATTATGGTGTTTGACATTTTTGATATTTTGATTGGACATTAGTAATTAGTGTGATGTGCCCGGTCCTTTCTTTGGTGCAGGATGAATTCTGTCATTCTTGTTTGTAACGTGGCCAACATTCTTGGTAGCTCGCCATTACGGTTATTTGATGATATTAGATGGTTGGAGGCAATAGACAGAAAGCCTACGTACGTGTTAGTTGGCAGTCGACAGCAAGGCGCATCTGCAACCTGCTTGAAGGTATTCATGTCCCTTCTGAGATTTGAACCCACATCACCTATTGCTGCAATAAGAGAGACCTGACCACTGAGCTATTGGGGCTCGCAGTTGATCCCCTGTAGTACTGTAGTGGAAACTTTGATTGGAATTTAGTTACTAGTGCAGAAGCACTGGGTGACGGGGGTTCAAATCTCAGAAGAAACATGAGTACCTCCAAGCTGGTTGCAGATACGCCTTGCTGTCGACTTCCAACTAACACGAACCTAGGCTTCCTGTCGATTGCCTCCAACCATCTAATATCATCAAATCAATGTGCACCGTGATGGTGAGCTACACGGAATGGCGGCCACAATGCAAACCTGACTTAAAGAATTCAGTCTACACCAAAGAAAGACTAGACATATCACACTAGTTACAAGTGTCATATCAAAATATCCACTACAGTTCTACAGAGGGTCAATTGCGAAACCGAATAGCGTTAGGTGACGTGGGTTCGAATTTCCGAAGGTTGTTGACGAGGGCGACCTAGATCGAAGGCATCCTGACAATTGCCTCAAACTATCTAATATCGTCGAAAAGTTTGCTTTTCAAGTGTTGGTTTGTGGGGATTTGATTGGTTACAGGACTTAATCATGAGCTGATATTGGTTAGAGAAGAGTCCTAAACTAGGAAGAAACGGCTGTCCAGTCCAGTCTAGGTTTTCCAATAGTTCTCTAATGTTTTTTTTTGAAGAATTGGTATTCACTTCGAGTATCGTGTTTGCTGTTGATGGTATTTCTGGACAGTTCGCAGGTCGTGGTTTTTTAAGTGTTTACATAGTTCCTCCACTTTTCCGTCTATCCTCTTTGATGTCATCGCTGTTGACTTCTTGGAGGATAGCTACATGTTGAACTGATGTAGTAATCTGAGGTCTTTCTTCTCTGCGACATATTCCGTTTCACTTGCCAATCTGTCACGCCTGATTCTCTTATCGATTTTATGTCCAGAATGCTTAATCATCTAATTCCTGAGATTGAGATGATGATCCTCTGATATTTGGTTTGTGCAATTCATGAAACATATGTCAGTTCGTGAATGTTGCACTGCTACGTGCAGTGAACGACTGAGTGAAGTCAGAAAAGTATGCGAAGCGTCCATCGTCCTCATTTTTTTCACCCACAACCTCTTGACCTACGAAGGATCGCCTTCTATTCTTGTTTGCTTCCATTTTCGCAATCTGATGTTGCTATTTGGTTTGGTGTGAACTACTTCTAACAAATGTCAGTAAAATTCTTCCGTCCCCTCTTGGTTCATGTAACTTGTAGAAGCACGGCACTTGAACTCGGTTTGTTTTAATTGAGTGTTGTGTGTTTGTGAGTGCATGAACCTTCATTTGAATCGGGTGACAAAACAATAAAACAATTTACACTGTTTTAGCTGGAGGAAAGTGAGACACTGAAGTGTTACCACCATCTGCGAAGGGAAATCATTGTTCATTTATTCCCTATATTTAATTTTGATAAAGGCTGTATGCAGCTGATGACAAGCTCACGAAATAAATGATAGTACCATTTTATACTGGAAAAACTATTGTTATTGCCTTATTCGAAATTATTGCACTCAAAAAATGTTAAGAGATAATGTACAGTGGGACATGATTACGAAAATGCTCTTTAAACAAAGTCACAGGTGAAAAAACACAGTTCCTTGTTTTGTGTTTAACACAAAAGTTGAAATGAATCACTGAAAAACGAATAAACAAAGTATCAGACGGTTCATTCTACTAAACCTCATATATTCGAATGCCTATTTCTTCGGTAAATTTTACAGTAGCCAGCATTTCCATGCATGGCATATTCCCTGAGAATTGCAGTGATTTGTCAGGTTATTATTCTGTCATCATCAATTAGCCAATACTCAAACACGCAAGACTTTCATCATCGAATGGTTTCAAAGGACTGATCATGGGCACGGAATTTTTCTTTACTTGTGATCTGAAGCTGAATATGCCTAGATAAAACTGCAATAAACAAGAGAGAGGTAAGTGTGTTGGTGACTGTTCAGGGTTACTCATAGTGTATAATACAAACAATAAATGTTGTAACCAAACTTCAAGGACAGGGACCAAATAAGAAGCGCTTTCTTAACTTGAGCATAAGAGAGTGCAGTATCACAAAGATGAACTTTAAATAGAGAATAAGAAATATATTCTAAGCGTCATTTCAATAGTCAAAATTCTCATTTAGACATTTAGAAAACAGAAAGATTGAGCGAAGGAATACTTACTTTTCAATTAGATCCTCATCTCTGGCTCAACCCTAATATATGTAGCACATTTATTGCAATACGCAACAATTTACCAATCAGGTGGCAATGAAATGAGGATCTAATTAAAATTAAATGTCTTCGCTCAATTTTTCTGTTTTCCAAAAATCAAAATTCTCTCAGCAAATAACCTGTGTCAACTAACATTACACCATTACCTACTTTTCTGTATTTTCCCAATTTAAACAGAAATCCTGAGAATTGAACACTTGTATCAAATTAAATGGGCGAAGGAATTTCTCGAATGTAAGTCCTGTCTGTAACGCATTCGATTGTTTGATGTTCCTGAAATGATCCGTTTGTAGAATAAAGGTGTGAATTTTCAGTGAAGTTAAATATGTTGGATTGCGAATTGAAATGAATTGCAGTGTCATTGAAAATGACCAAAGAATTCAATTGCTAGACAAATAAATTATCAAAACTAGCATTAAGGAGAGTGGTTTCCGGGTGTTAGTAGCCCAGAAAATTCTTTCAAAAAATAGTCTGCAACATTTTATGCAGAAACTTCGAGTTGAAGAATGAATTTCATGTGCACATTTTGCAAATTATTTTAGCACACATATAAGCGGTGACTACATTGGGCCATCTGCAGAATAAATGTTGTTTATTCACCTTTCGATATTCTTTTCACCACAGAGACAGTATAGTCTGACAGACAAGTAATGTAACGTCTCGAACAAGTTGCCATGTACCTAGTATAAAAACAAACAGCTTCTGTGTTTCGTTTTACCTTGTTTTAATTTTCATGTCTGACAAACCCTCAGTTTACATTTCAGGTTTTCTTACTGTCCCTCTCTTAGCATGCCTCCAAGTACAGGCAGATCATTTCGAAGAATTTATCTACGTTTTTACAGCAATGGGTGCAGAAGATACGAAGCTGGTGAATTTTTCTCTTCGTAGGTTATTTCTTCCTAAAAT